GATGTAAGATCAAAAAGTTAGGAAGCCGCAGCTCTAGGCAATGGGAAGCCCTTGAAGATTTTTAATGAGTCAGTGTATTGAGGAAGATTAACCTGGACCCAAATCAGTAAACCCAAACCCATAAAGAACAATGAATGAGTAGTGAAACCTGGCTCTGCCCTTTACCAGCCATGGGATCCTGGGCAAGTGCCTGTACCTCTTGGGGCCCCTCAGCCCTCGTGTCTATAAAGCCTGGTGTGCCCATCACCCATGATAAGACAGACAGTGAGATGTTCCCAGTGTCTGGCACACAGTGGCTATCAATAAATCTCCAATACAAGGGAGCTAGGTGGCTATTGCAGGTGAGAAGGGAGGTAGTGGCAGGAGAGAAAAGGAGAGGAGAAAGGTACATGGAGGAAACGCACTCAAGTATGGTAGAAAGAGTCAACAGTGATTCTGAAACCTGCCTTCCCATATCCCCGGCTGGAATCTCATCCTTGCACAGGCCTCCCCGCCAAAGCTGGCTCGGACCCAGCAAGTCTCCCAGCCCTGCCAGAGGGAAGCTAGCTCTACCATCACAACCTTGGAGCAAGGGTGTAGGGGTCTCAGGCAAACAGGAAAGGTCACTGGGCAGTCTCTCTGTGCCTATGACCAGAGAGAAAGGTCCAAAGATGGTTGTGGTTCCTGTTATGTGAACTCTGCGGTTCCCAGGTGCTGGCTGCCTTCCTGCATCCCAGGCTGGAAGATGACTCAGGGCAGCCTGGAGCAATCCCATCCAGCACCAGGTAAACCAGGCAATCCTCCAAATCCTATCTTGTCGCTGTTCCTTCCTGGCCCCTGGCCCCACATCTCCTTGACTTTCTCCTTTGGGTTTTAGCAGGAAACGGATTCATTGGGTGCATGCTGTCTCATTCCTTCTACTCCTCTGCCTCAGGTCTACACACACACACACACACACACACACACACACACACACACGAAAAGGAACTGGAGGAACCAGCTAGTGGCCTGTGTTTACACCTTATCTTGCGCAGCCTGCAGAGCCCCACCTCAGAAGAAGCTAGGTCAGGGTCATGGTGAGAGCTTGAGACTTTGTCACAGTTGCAACAACATTGAGAACTAACACTCACAACGCATTTATTATGTGCCAAGCATGGTTCTAAACACTTCATATGAGTTAAATAATTTGAACTTTGCCATACACCTAACTAGGCAAGTACTGTGATTATTATCTTGCAGATGGAAAAATTGAAGCAGAGTAACTTGCTCGAGGTTGCCCAGTTATGTCTTTCTGATGGATTGGGAAATAGCCATCCTGATCCCTGGTAATATTCCTTGTCCCAAAGCCTACTTTGTCTGATTTTAGTAGAGCTACACCAGGCTTCCTTACGCTTGGCATTTGCATGGTCTATCTTTTCCCATCCTTTTACTTTCAACTTGTCTATGTCTTTACATTTAAAGTGCATCTCTTGCAGGCTGCATATAGTTCGGTTTTGCTTTTTTTTATCTAGTCAGGCAATGTCTGTCTTCTAATTGGAGTGTTTAGTCCATTTACATTTAATGTTGTGTTTGATCTACCATCATGCCATTTGTTTTCTTTGTCTCCTCCATTCTTCCTTTCTTGTCTTTGTTTACATTAATCAAGTATTTCAAAATATTCTATATTGTCTCCTCTATTGGCTCTTTAGCTATGTCCTTTTGTATTTTCCCCTATTATTGCTCTAAGAATGATAATATGCATCCTTAACTTACCACCATCTATCTCTAATGAAACCCCTAATTTTTATATGTTCCACTTTTGCATGTTACACATGACACTCTATGCCTGTTTTTCATTTGTTCACTTAATTCGAATTAGGTATTTTATACAAATAGTGTTTCCAAATATAGCACAGGATTCGGCTAGGTGTGCCTTTCTCTGAGCCTTGCAGTAGTTTGGAAAATTTTTCACCTGTTGGTCCATTTTGCCCTTATTTCATAAAGAGAGTAGAAAACAGCATAGGATTCATAAGCTTAATTCAGTTGAGACCCAGAAAGAAATGTCTCGGTAAACAGCAAGCAGGGATTCTAGCCTGAATCTTATTCTATTGTGAAGAGACAACGGAACCAAAGGACAGAGCAGGTACAGAGTGCTGGAGCTCCATTGCTGAAGAGGTGTTTGTTCACAGGTGGGGTGGGAACAGAGCCAGTGCTCCCCCAACCCCCCATTCCCTTAAACACAGGGGACTCTCGTTTGATGTCCTGTTACCCATCTGCTCTTTGGACACGACTTCGGTTCCGCCCTGGGAAGACCAGCATGCACTGGACACCACACAAATGGCGGACTTGCTCTCTAGAGTTGGTCCCAAGGCTGCCTCTTATCAGCTCACTGGCCTTGGAGGGCCCTGAAACTGGGCTAGCCCCCAGTGCGTTTCTGTGAGATATCCCTTCTTGGTGCCCAGGGAGGGCCACTTCACCCTGGCCTGAAGCACCACCCTGGAGGAATCCTGAGAAAGCTGACTCTCATTCTGCAAACATCACACTCAGTCCTCAAAGGCTGACACCTACACTTTCACCACTGAGGCCTCAGCCCACTATTCCAGGGGAAGTAAAGTGAGCCTTCCCTGTACGTATGGAAATCCAGGCCTCCATTTTATGGATGAGGGCACTGAGGCCCAGGGGGGTAAAGTGATTCTTGAGATGGGGTTAGTTGGTCCTGGAGTGGGAGCCTCCCTTTTCCCCTCCCCTCAGCTGTAGCAGCCTCCACACAATCTCATTCACTGCGTGCTCGACCTTGATTTAGACGGTACGTGCACTAATAGGGTGTCTTTTCTCAATTCTCTTCCAGTCCTGATTACTGAAGGACAAAGTCTCAGCTGAGTNAGCTCTCTTGTCAGAAGGGAAAGGACTGGACCCACTGGAGCATTCCTGGCCACAGACCTTGGCCTTGACCTTTGCTGGGGCGCCCACCACACAGTCCTGTCTGAGGCCTGCATCCCCCACCTCGGAGGTCATTTGGTTCCGGCCCAGCACTCACTCTAACCCTCTCCCAGGCACTGCTCTGGAGGCCAGCCTGAGTGTGCAGAACCTCTCTGCTTTTGAAAACATTTTCAAGCATGCCTCTAGGAACTTCAGCCTTGAACTGGTATCTCGGCTCAGCTCCCACTGCTGCTTGGCACCCTGACTCTTCTGCGATTCCAGGGCACCTTTTGTCCAGCAGCTGTGCTAGGACCCTGCTCAGCCTCCCCTGGCCATGCTCTGTGGCTCGTATTTCTCTGCTGGTGGGCTGTGCCTTGCCTGACGAGCTGGAGGATGAGGGAGGTATGTGGAGACATATCTCTCGTGCCGCCACTGCTGGCATCATGGTCACAGGCTCTACACTGGACCTTTATTAAACAGCACATCTCAGCTCTCTGCAGAGGCCTGCGGTTCTGACCAAGCCCTCAAATCACCCTCTGAGCCACACAGAAGAGTCCCCTCCTATAGGTCAAATCTCCGCCCGCCCCCTCACCCCAGCATCACCCCTGTCGGCCCATCCGCAGGAGCTGGTACTGAGTGGCATCTCTAGAGGAATCCTGCAGAGGGACCTGGGCCAAAGCTCGGGTGTCCCCTTCCCCCTCCGGCCGCCAGCCCTGGCTGAACTGCCACTGTTGGTGATTGTTAGGGGAGCGCCGGCGGACAGTGGGCGATTCAGTGAGCAGGCCTTCTGAGCAACAAGCCCTGTGCTGTGCCTGAGCTATTCAGTGTGGGCAGAAAAGGGTAACCTTGGCTCACAGGGCGTGCATTAACCCTTGGTGACCGGGAGTTCTGGGCTCTGGGGGATTTCCTATAGCTTGTTCATCCCTCGTCACATCCTGGGCCAGGTGGGAAAACAGGCTCCCATCACTATGGCCGTGGCCTCTCTCATTTAAACCATTCAAATTGCCACTCCCAGGGGAGGTGGGCAGAAGACAAGCCTCGGAGTGTGGGGAGAAGGAGCCTGTGTCTGGCAGAGAAGGGGGGCTCTGAAGGCTCACAGTCAGGAATATTACATGTGACCAGGAAAGGAGAGGCCACCTGAGCTACACCAGCACACCTCTCCTGCCTGTTCCCCAACCTGGCTTCCATCTGAGTCACCCACCACGGGCCAAAACCTCCCTGAGACAGGCTGTGCCAGGATTAACAGACCACCTGGGCAGGCAGCATGTACCTGGAGGCCCAAGATAGGCAGTAAGCTTGGGAAGCAGGCTGGCAGAAGTGGCCACACCCAAACCCATGGCTGCGCTGATACTCAGTCAGTCCCATAGGCTCTTTGGAAGTCATCCCATATCAGCCCTTCTCTCTGTCCCCTGATCCCTGAAACCGGGGGTGGGGGGGAGGCACCTGGCATCCACATCCTAGCCACATGACCCTGAATTGCTTGCTTGACTACTCCAAGGCTCCATTTCCTCGTCTCTAAAAGGATATGATGATAGTATCCTTCTCGCGGGGCTGTTGGGAGGGTTGACTGAGATGGTCCCGGGAAAGCACCAGGCTTGGCACATGGAATGTGCTTAGTAGAGGTTAGTGGGGTTGTTATTCTGAGTTAGGGGTTCTACTGCCTGGGACTTTGCCCAAGAGACTCTGTAGGGCACTCCCAGGTCTTTCTCTCCCAGGATCTAATCTGTGCTGTGTTCGTGGGCCATTCTGAGTCCAGCTCTCAGCTGTGCTACCTGGTGAATGATTTCATTTCGTTTCTTGACAATCCCAGGTCTTATCTTTTCTAGTATTAGATTCAGCAATAAGCCTCCTCCTTTATCACTATGTCTCCTGATGAAATGATTTCATTGAGTTTCCGCTAATGTGTTGCTGTTCTTTTTGTTTTAATCCACTTGGGGTTGGAGTTGGGGAAGTCTGACACCATTTTTCTTTGGAAGACAATTTCTTCTACAGATAGGTCTCATTTAAAAATGTTTGTGATCTGGTTTGGGGTTGTGTGTTCTGAGAAACTCAGGGCCAGGGAGAACACTGAGGTCTCCCACCTCCAGGAGCCACAGGAGAAACCAGAAAGGAACCGACATTACCTGTGGTGAAGGACGCGAAGAGTCGGACGTTGCCCTGGGCAAGGGTTCGGTAGTGGGACCAACTGAGGTACAGCATCAGGGGCATCCAGATGATGGGGACAGTGTACCTGCAGGAGGGCCACCAGGGTGAGAGATATACATGCCCAGGGGCTCGACAGGGGCCAGCTTTCCCAGACATACCTCTGGACTAGAGGGGGGATGAGATGATACCAAAACATATGCAGAAAGCATGTGGACACCTGGGGTCAAAGGACACTGCTGGGGGAAACAAGAGAACGTCTGTGAATCTATCTGTCCCTTGTCTCTAAGATGAGTTATTGGCAGAAAAGAACTGTGTCCTTGTGGCTACGGACTCTATGCCGCTGGAGAGATGCTGACCTCTTGTGGCAAAGGACCTAATTGCAGGCAAAATGCTTCCCCTGGGCATTAGAAGCTGGAACCCCTTTGAGGAATCTGGCTCAGAACAGGGATGGCATTCAGAGTGGTTTCTGGCTACATGCTGGGTTGTCACTCCCTCAATGGACAAACCACGCACAGGAATGGATTATACCTACGGCATGTTCCACTATCCCCAAGAGCTTACGGTATAGCTCTGGGCTGGGTGGGGGGCAGACCAATTGCCCTTTCCCCTATTGTATCTGACTGGCACCAACTGGCACCATCAGGAGAAAGGGACAGCCCACCAAGGATGCAGTGCAGGGCTCACCAGACAGTCTTGCTGAGGGACTCGATGAAGTCTGAGTAGAAGAGGCGGATGGGCCTGGTCACTGGCTGGTGGACCCACTCCTCATATTTCTCTCCCAAGTGGCCTACCTGCCACAGTAGGGGCTTCTGCCAGTCTATCAGGTCCTGAAAGAGACAAAGGCAGTGGATACTTGATATTCACACCTGCACACATTCATTCTTCCAACTCCTAGTTATCGTATCCCAGTCCCCATCCTCCACCTTCATGTGGTCTGTATGGGGTTACTCGCCCTCCCACTTCAGTGATTCAGGACCGACCAAACCACTCAGTTCAGTTCCTGGCCACAGAATTGGGATCCAGGACAGGCCCATGACCTAAGCTGGTGCAATAAGCCATCAGACACCCTCTCTTCCTGCTGAAGTCGCTAAGTTAGCAGGGCATGCCCCTGGAGTTGTTAGCCTGCCCGAGGACTCAGTGAACATAGAGGATGGCCAAGTCAGGATCTAGAGACACCAAATCCAGGTGATGACACCCGAGTACCCATATTCAGCCGTGCCTGACACTTGAAGTCTTGCCCAGGACTGTTTAGGTACGGGAGCCAATATATGCTTTACTAGGAATGAAATAGGCCCTTTCCCCTCCACCATGGGCTTCCTTCTTGGTGTTGGTCTGGGCAATACATTCATTCATTCATCCCTTCAAACAATCATTCATTCAAAATTTGCTTGATATTTCATATCTATTTATCTATCTATAATTTCTATTTCTAAGCTAGGTGCTGAGAAGAATAAACAGGAATGTGAGAGACTATCTTTGCTTTGTATAGCTTAGTGCTTAATTAGAGTTCAGACTCTGGAGTCAGGCCTGGGTACAAATCCTGGCTCCATCACTTACTGTGTGACCTTGGGCAGATTACTTGACCTCTCTGAGTTTCAGTTTCCCCAGCTACGAAATGGAAGTGATAATAATGGTATCTGTAATAAAATGCTCAGGAAGATGAGACATGCCAGGCAAGACACTTTAGTGGTGATGCAGGAGGTGGAATGATTGGTACAAATGCCTGGGTCCAGGGTAGAAAATAAGGGCTTTGTAGAGAACTTGGGGTTTGGGTTGGAGCTCACACAACATGGAGGGCTCGGCAAGGGAGAGAGGAAAAGATAGAAGAGGGAATGTGGGCAGAGACCTGCAGCTTAGAATGATTGTGGCCCATTTAGAACCTTGACATTGATCTGGGGGGCAGCAGGAAGAAATTTGCTGAGGGTTTTAGATGACAGAACACCCCATACCAGACCCAGGAGTTGGCACTTCATCCTCCAGGCCAGT